AGTCGTGCTGTGTGTGTGCTGTGTTGTCACAGTCGTGCTGTGTGTGTGCTGTGTGTGTGCTGTGTCATCACAGTCATGCTGTGTGTGTGCTGTGTCCTCACAGTCGTGCTGTGTGTGTGCTGTGTCGTCACAGTCGTGCTGTGTGTTTGCTGTGCCATCACGGACTTGCCAAAGCAGTTTTCCAAGGCAGGCTCCGAGCTGCCTCGCCTTCCACGTGTTGTGATGCGTTTTTAGAAGGTTAGAGAGACATGCTGTAGGACATAGTTTTCACACGATCCGCCCGCCTCAGCCAAGAAACACGGTGGTTAAAGTTGGGGCAGGAGTTGCCACGGAAACTCCTGGAGTTTCCAGGAGGAAAAGCCTGGAGGGCGGACAGGGCATCTCTCCCTGGCCGCCCAGCACGTGTCCACCTGCAGCGTCGGCCTGGCTGAGGCGGAGGTTGGGCATAGGGGGCGTCGAGGGACTGGGCCGGCCCCTGAGGGCTCTGGGGCTCAGCAGAGCACCTGCCTCTACTGAGGCCAGCAAAAGCGGAGGACCACTGTTGGGGGGACCGGCTGCTGGGGAGTGGGCCCTCAATCCAAAACTCACCCTCAGAGGCTCCCTCTGTCTTTCTCGCAGTCAGTCTGCTCTCTGGCAGCAGTTAGTTCTCTGCTCTGGTTATAAGCGTCTGAGCACAGAGCTTCGGGTCCCTGGGAGCCCTGCTGGGTGGGGCCAGGACAACGCTGAGGGCAGGGAAGGGCTTTGCCCCAAGGAGCCCCAAGCTAGAGAAAGATGGGGACGCGGGTGCCAGCCCCACAGGTGTCCTACGGCTGGGCGTCAGTAGAGCTCTGAGTGAGTGCTGTGTGCGTGTGTGTGTGCACGCGTGTGGCTGTGGGTCTGGGTGTGGCCGCACATCTGTGCAGTTGTGTGCTCTGGTGGTATCTGTTCATATGCAGCGTGTAGCTGAGTGACTGCATATGTTGTATGGCAGGGTGTCGGTGCAGGTTTGGGGCTATGGTTGTGGTCTGTCCTGGGTGGGGCTGTGGTCTGTCTTGGGTGGGGCTGTGGTCTGTCCCGGGAGGGGCTGTGGTCTGTCCTGTGTGGGGCTGTGGGTTGGTCTGATGCGCATGTGGTCATGGAGTATCAGGAATGACCCCGCATGGTCACTCCATGTCTGTCCCACAGGGATCCCCCCGGCCAGCGGCACCGGGACCCTCCAGATCTATCTCATTGACATCAATGACAATGCCCCTGAGCTGCTGCCCAAGGAGGCGCAGATCTGCGAGAAGCCCAGCCTGAACGCCATCAACATCACAGCCGCCGATGCCGACATGGACCCCAACATCGGCCCCTACGTCTTCGAGCTGCCCTTTGTGCCGGCCACTGTGCGGAGGAACTGGACCATCACCCGCTTAAACGGTGAGCCCGCCTCGAACACGAGCCCGCAAGCACAGCCACTGGGAGGATCAGACTGAGTCTGGGGTGTAGCCCCCCGAGGGAGCCCAGCGCCCTGCAAGAGTGAGGAGCGGGGACGGGGGCCAGTCCTACAAGAGGGCTGTCCGCCCTTTCCCTCCTGGAGCCCCCTGGCTGTTGTCCAGTGCTCGGCGTGTCCAGGGTGCCCCGAGGAGGCCCTATGGCAGTCCCAATCTCTCACTGTTGTGCCGAGCACAGCCGTGACCGCCCTTGCAGCTATAACTGCGGGTGTCCGTGGCTACTTCCTGTGCCGGTTACCAACCGATGGGACCCCGACCGATGTGCTTCCTAAGGGTAGTTTGCTAGACGTGGACTCGTATAAAAGGGCATCCAAATTTGGAAGTTTTGCTAGCACTGTGAAGATGCATCTAGAAAGGTTATGCCAATCTCTGATTTCACTAGAAATAGAGGAGAATGCCTATTCCCCAAAACCTCACCAACACTGAATATTATTGTTTTAAAAAGCATTTTCCCACATTTATAGCCAAAATCATTGTTTCCATTTGCATCTCTTGACTACCAGTGGACATTTTTTCATATATTTATTGGCCATTTGTTGTTCCTTCTGTGAATTATCTGTTCAATGGCCTTGTCTATTTTCCTTTGAGAAGATTTTTTTCTAATTGATTTGGTAAAACTCTTTATATATTAAGGAAATGATTTCTTCATCCTACATGTTGCAATTGCTTTTTCTTGAATTGCCAATGCCTTTTAACCATATGGTGTGATGTGGTGTGTATGTGTGCATATGTGTATGTGTGTGCATACGGGTGTGTTTGTGTGCATATGTGTGCTTGTGCATGAGTATACGTGTGTATGCATGTGTGCATGTTTGTGTTAACCACACAGATACTTCAGATGTTCACGCACTGAGTTTTTTCCTTCGGTAGTCTTGCTCAGAAAGGAGGGCTGGCCACTTACTGAACAAAGCCCATTCTGTCGTTCTGTGCTAGGTGACTATGCCCAGCTCAGCTTGCGCATCCTGTACCTGGAGGCCGGAATGTACGATGTCCCCATCATCGTCACAGATTCTGGGAACCCTCCCTTGTCCAACATGTCCATCATCAAAGTCAAGGTGTGCCCGTGCGACGAGAATGGTGACTGTACCACCATTGGCGCGGTGGCAGCGGCTGGTCTGGGCACGGGTGCCATCGTGGCCATCCTCATCTGCATCGTCATCCTGCTGAGTGAGTATGGCTGAGTGCCGAGGGCATCATGGCCCAAGCGCTCTGTCCAGGGATGGCCAGGAGGTGCTGGAGCGCAGGTTTGCCCTGTAGCACGCATCTCCTGGCCTCATCCCGTCCGCTAGGAACCTTTCAGAAACCCAACTGAACTGGTCTGTACCCTAATGGACACAGGCACTCATGGCACACACATGCCTGCACTCGTGCACACGCACATGAGCTCTCCATATGCACAAAGGAGGACATTCCACACAGGCATGCACACATGCATATACACACATGGACATGCACATACATGCCTGCACTCATGCACACACACATGAGCTCTCCATATGCACAAAGGAGGACATTCCA